CGCCTTTCATGCCCAACGCTAGGATGTGTGCGTGGGGGTAGAGATGTTCTATTTCCCTATTCTTCAGTCCTCAAAAATCCTCTGCCCTGCTAGCTCCCATCTCCCAGGTCAAGGCAGGAGAACAGGCCCATGGGCTAGCAAAGGTTATTCCCATCCCCCTCCCATGTAGGAGCCCCCGTTGTGGACCATGCCGCTGTGCAAGGTGCTGCACAAACATGAGACCGAAGGACGTTGCCTGCCCACAAGAGTTTCTTGCTCCTGTCCCATGCCCGCTGCTCCCCCCGCTCCCCAGACACCAGGGCGCTCGCTCATTCTCATCTCTTTATTGATTTTCTTAAATAAACACTTTTTACTCCAACATGCAACATTTTGGTGTGATGTGAGCAGAGGGGGAGTGGGCGGGGCCTGCGTGTTCCCACCTTGCAGGAGCGGGGCAGAGTGACCCCGACGTTGGGCCGAGGGTCCCCCCGGCCTGCTCTGCTCTGGGCGTAGTGGCCGTGGCGAGGGGAGAAGAGGGGACACACACACACGCAAGCTAGAGGCGGCCGCCCGCCGGCCCAGGAAAAAAAAGACACCGAGGTGGGTTTAGCAGCTTCGGTTTGTCCAGAACAGCGGCGTGCAGGATGCCCGGCCCCCATAGGCTAAGCTGTTTAATGGGCATTGGGGGGGAGGGGCAAAGCCCCCAGGCAGATTTCACAACCGTGGCAGTGTCCCCCTATTTTCTAGCACAGCGCCTCTGCCCCCAAAACCCCCCTACCTGCTAGCTCTGAGGGGAGCCCACCTTGAGCTGGAAGGCACCCAGAGGAGACGATCAGGGCACACACACCCCCGGGATCAGTAGCCTGGGGAGCGAGGCTAAGGAGTAGGCAGGTTCCAGGAGCAGGAAGGGGCCCAGCTCAGACAGCGCCATGGGGGTGGGACTCATCCTGGGGGCAGGATGCAGAGTGCAGCCCCGAGCGCCAGCACAGGTACCTCTGCCCTGCCCAGGAGCAACCCCCCTCTGGGCACGAGAGCTGGAGCTCCCCAGCATCTCTGCTGAGCCGACCGTCCACTGGTTGTGCTGCGGTCACGGGCTCTCCAGGGGTTAGTCTGACGCTGGGCAAGGCGGGCACTCAGCCTGGGGCGAGCAGCTGTCTCCCCAGCATGGCTATGGGTGGAAGGGACAGACGGCCACTCGGCAGCCGCTGCAGCCCCAAGTCCAGATGCCAGGCAGGGCTGGGGCAGTGCTGGCAGCTGGGGGAGCTTGGGGGGGACAGAGGGGAGAGCCCGAGGCACTGACCTGCCTGCGCTGCAGGGCCCCTTCCACCCCAGTGGGACGGCAGGCTGGGAACCAGGGGGCCGCTCCCCCCTTGAGATGAGAAGCAGGCTCCCAGGGCCTGGCAAGGCGGCCCTGCTGCTGGTTACACATAGGGCGCCCCCGGCCGGGGACACCTCCGCCTTAGCAGGTTCCGATCTAGCAGGGGGAAGGGCAGCGCCTGGGGGATGCCACGGGCTCTGGGAGCCCAGGGCTGGGAGGCGGATGAGGGGGTGTGGGGTGAAATGGCTAATACCCCCCTCTCCGCGGGGTGCAGAGGGGCTTGGCCTGGGTTCGATGCCGGACATTCCTCGTGACGGCTGCTTAAGGCATTTTAAAATCAAGGTGGGTCGGGCCGGGCCCGAGCGCCAGCCCCAGGCAGGCCGGGCCCGGACCCGACGGGCAAGCTGTGACCTCAAGGAGCTTGCAAGGACAGAGAGAGCGCGAGACAGCGAGCGCAGCAGCTGGGGAACGACACAGGAGACGAGAGAGCAGGACAGGCAGACGCGCGGACGGACAGACGGGGGTTAGTAGAGAGGCCCCGGGAAGTCAGAGAGCAGCATGCTGAACAGAGGCCTCCAGCCCGGTTAGAAACTACAAGAGAAGAGGGGATGGGGTGAGATCTCAGGCCGCCCCGGACAGCAGGGACCGGCCCCGGGCCGAGCCTGGCTCACCCGCCAGTGCTGTGCCGGGCAGGGGTCCCGCCCCACCAGCTAACAGGGTGCTGGGGAAGGCCGGCTTGACCTGGAGGTACGAGGAAGAGGGGCAACCCCCCAGCAGTTTTCATGGTAGGAGCCCCAGGGCGACACACAATGGGGGAGGGTTAGTGCGGGAGACAGGAGGGGAAGGCACCTGGGGGTGCAGGCACAACATCGGGGGGCTGGCGGGGCAGTGCCAGTGTGACACTGGGGGACTGTGGGAAGGTGTTGCACGCGATACTGAAAGGCTTTGGGGGGCAGCGACAGTGCTATGGCAGGGGGCGGGGGCCAGGTGCAATGGAGGGGGGGGTTCCCCTGGCAGGGCCGGCTCCAGGGTTTTGGCCGCCCCAAGCAGCCAAAAAAAAAAAAAAAAAAGAACCGCGATCGCGATCACAATCACGATCTGCAGTGGCAATTCAGCGGAAGGTCCTTCGCTCCGAGCCGGAGTGAGGGACCATCCGCCGAAGTGCTGGATGTGCCGCCCCAAGCATCTGCTTGACAAGCTGGTGCCTGGAGCCAGCCTGTCCCCTGGGAGGATGCAGACAGCAGGGAGTACCTAACGGGGGTAGGGGCAGAGGCCCGTGGGGTGGTACCCAGCCGGGCGGGGGGTGCAGGGGCAGAGGCCCGTGGGGCAGGGTGGTACCAGGCGGGAGGGGGCCAGGGGTCCGTGGGGCAGGGCGGTACCCAGCAGGGCAGGGCAGGGCAGGGCAGAGGATGCAGGGGCAGAGGCCCGTGGGGCAGGGCGGTACCCAGCAGGGCAGAGGATGCAGGGGCAGAGGCCCGTGGGGCAGGGCGGTACCCAGCAGGGCAGGGCACTCACCATCTGCGCTATTAGCTGGCTGCTGTCTCCTGGTGGAGGGGGAACAGCTTAGCTTGTTCGTCAGCCTGGCAGCTGCAGGGCAGCTCACTTCTGCGGGCAGAGAGAGGGCTTAGCTCTGCCCTCAGCTGTGCCCCGGGAGGCCCCTTCCCGCCCTCCCCCCAGTGCCAACCCCCTCCCCAGGCCAGGGCCTGGCTGCTCCAACCCCGGGGCAGACAGCCTGAACCCAGGGCTGTCTGGGGCGTGGACGACGCCCTCCCTGTGATGCCCCTTGGCTGGCGGATGCCCGGTTCCAACCCTGCCCTGTGGGTTGCTGGCCACTCCCTGTGCCACATCCCAGCCCCCCCGCGGGGGCTCCTGGCCTCACCTGTTATCGTTGATGTCTGTGGCGTTCCCTGCAGCCCGGCAGACATGGAAAGGAAAGTGCAGTGTCAGGGGGAGGCCCGGCCCCCCATCATCCTGGCAGCATAGAGGGGTCCCCGGAGGGTAGGAGCCCTGGGGTGCTCTCCCAGGACAGGCCCTGGCTATCAGGGGATCTCTGATGGGCTGCAAGTTCTGGTCCCCAGCAGGGCCTCGGCCACCCCAGCAGATGGCCACCTCCGGCCCCGTCCCTCCCCAGCCTCAGCCGCCCGCTCCCCAGCGGCCTCCACCCAGCCGCTCGGCCCAGCTGAAGCCGACGCATCCAAAGGCTCCAAACTCCCGCCCTCCCCCCCCCGTCAGGATTGCCCTTCTCCCCCCCCCCGGTGCCCCCCACCCAGGCTAGGGCCCCTCTCACCGTTATCCACGCTCAGCTTCTGGTAAGGCGCCAGGGGGCCGCTGGAGGAGCCCGTGCCGCTGCTGGACGAGGAGTTGGCAAAACTGAGCAAGGGGAGACCCAGACAGACGGAGCCGTCAGAACCGCAGCACGGACAGCCGCTCCACATGCCAGGGGTGATGAATGGGGGATCCCTGCCCCAAGAGCTGGTAGTGCCCCCCCCCCACTGCAGGGGGAGGGGGGCACGTGTGGCAGCCCCCATCGGGGGTTCCCCGTTCCCCCCCATCCCCGGCACTCACTAGGCGTCTGGGGCGGAGCCCTGCCCGTAGGCTGCCTGGTAGTTCTGGAAGAGGCTGTTGGTGTAGCTGACGCAGTCGGCGTTGCGGGCGCCGTAGGGGTTGGTGGGCGAGGCCGGGTAGTGCCCCGGCCGCACCGGCTTGGCTGAAAGGGAGAAACCTCCATTGAATCACGGCCCCTGGGAACCCCCCAGTGCAGACGTGGCAGTGAGGCGGGCCGGCTGGGGGGAGCACATGGCCCCCAGAGAACGGGGGGGTGGGTTTACGCCCTCGGCTCAGGCCATGCCGGCTTGAGGGTCCGGCAGTGTCCACCCCTCATGCCCTCCCCTACCCACAGGACCATGCCCTATGGAGAAGGCCAATGCCCTAGGAGTCGCCAAGCCCTGCCCCCCATGTGCGTGGAGGGGGGGGGTCTGCAGCCCTGACGCTGGCAGCGCCCACTCCTGTGGGAAAGGGACCCCACTGCCCCCGGGCGGGCGCTCACCGATCTGCGCCGAGTGGGCGCGCTTGCTGGAGTTCTTGTAGCGCACGGCCTCCTTGATGCGGTCCACCTCCTGCTGGTAGCGCCGCTTGTCCTTCATGGCCCCCTCCTTGGCCTCCCTCAGTGCACCCTCCAGGGCCTTAACTCTCTCAGCCGTAGCCCGAAGCCGCTTCTCCAGCTTTGGAAGCTCACAGCGCAGATCTGCATTGTCACGAACCAGCTGGGGGCGCCGGAGAGACAAGGGGGTGTCGGCGGAGGCGAGACGAGACCCCCCTGAGCCCTACCCCCCCCCCCCGGGAAGCAGCCGGCTCCCACCCCGCCCTATGCAGGGAGCCGCGGCACACCTCACCTCGTCTCCTGCCCCACCCCCACCCCCGGGCCAGTGGCCTGCTTCAGGGAAAGGAGCCAGCACCCCACCCCCCCAGCAGTGGGCTAAGGGGTCACCTGCCCTGGGGGGAGACCCCCACCCCATCGGTTTGGGGCTGGGGGGTTTGCAGCCCCTCTCGCTCCATCTCTGGGATGTGCTCATGCAGCCCCTGCTCCCAGGTCTGAAGCCCCCTAAGCTCTCAGTCTCAGCGCCCCCCTGTGGCAGGCAGTTCCACAGATCAATTCATCCCGTGCTACATCACTTGCACCGGGGAGTGATGGGGAACCGGGATTCCCACGCAGAGGGCAGCTGACAGGGCAGTGGTGGGAGCCGTGACCAGTGGCCCTAGGGAGGGGGCCTTGTAGAGGGCCGGGGGCTCCAGCAACCTGCCCTCCTTCTCTCGGCCCTGCTAGCGTGTTGAGGTCGGGACGCTTTCGGCAAGGGAGGCCAGCATGGGGAAGGGCAGGGGGTCATGCCCCCTGTCTAGGGGCACGGGGCGCCTCCCCATTGGCGCTCTCTCTCCTGTGCCCATGGAGACTTGGCCAAATTCATGCCCCTTTCCTTGCCCCCACCCCCATGTGGAGCCAGGCTCGAGGCTGCATGGTGCAGGGCACACGTTGGCTGAAAAGCTGGAGAGCCGCAGGGCAGCTGGGGGGCAGGTACCTACTGCCTCCAGGCTGACCGCCCCCTCCCCCCACAGCTCTGCCAGGCACAAGCCCCCAGCAGGCCGTGCCACCAGGCGTGTGGCATGCAGGCAGCAGCGGTGGCGGGAGAGCAGAAGCCGAGCGCGTGGCAGAGGGGAGCGTGGAAGCGGGAGGCAAGCTGCGGCAGGATGGAGGGGGACGGTCGCTGTCTGGCACAGCCGCCACGGGCCAGGGGCGGGCAAGAAAATGTTTGAGATCACGCAGCAGAGAACAGAAGAACGGCCAGACGGGGTCAGACCAAAGGTCCATCTAGCCCAGTGTCCTGTCTGCCGACAGCGGCCAATGCCAGGTGCCCCAGAGGAAACGAACGGAACAGGGAATCATCAAGTGATCCATCCCCTGGCACCTATTCCCAGCTGCTGGCAAACACAGGCTAGGGACACCATCCCTGATCATCCTGGTTAATAGCCATGGATGGACCTATCCTCCATGATCTTATCTAGTTCTTCTTTGATCCCTGTTATAGTCTTGGCCTTCATAACATCCTCTGGCGAGGAGTTCCACAGGTTGGCTGTGTGTTGTGTGAAGATATACTTCTTTTTCTTTGTTTTAAACCTGCTGCCTATTAATTTCATTTGATGACCCCTAATTCTTGTGTTTATGGGCAGGAGTAAATAACACTTCCTTATTTACTTTCTCCACAGCAGTCATGATTTTATAGACCTGTCATATCTCCCCTTACCCGTCTCTTTTCCAAGCTGAAAAGTCCCAGTCTTATTAATCTCTCCTCATACGGCAGCTGTTCCATCCCCCTAGCCATTTTTGTTGCCCTTTTCTGAACCTTTTCCAATTCCAATAGATCTGTTTTGAGATGGGGCGACCACATCTGCACGCAGTATTCAAGACGTGGGCGTACCATGGATTTATATAGAGGCAACAGGATATTTTCTGTCTTATTCTCTATCCCTTTCCTAATGATTCCCAACATTCTGTTCACTTTTTTGATGCCGCTGCACATTGAGTGGATGTTTTCAGAGAACTATCCACAGTGACTCCCAGATCACTTTCTTGAGTGGTAACCGCTAATTTCGATCCCATCATTGTATATGCATAGTTGGGATTACTTTGCATTTATCAGCACTGAATTTCATCCTCCATTTTGTCGCCCAGTCACCCCGTTTTGTGAGATCCTTTTGTAGCTCTTCGCAGTCTGCCTGGGACTTAACTATCTTGGGTAGTTTTGGATCAACTGCAAATGTTCCCACCTCACTGTTTACCCCTTTTTCCAGATCACTTATGAATATGTTAAACAGGACTGGGCCCAGAACAGACCCCTGGCGGACACCACTGTTTACCTCTCTCCATTCTGAGGGCCCAGCCCGGCCTGCCTGAGGGGTGCCCATGGGGAGGTGGGCACAGACCCTCTCTATCCTGCAGGGCCCATCCCGGGTGCTGCCCAAGCCCCCTGCCTCCCAGGGAAGAGGGAGAAAGGAGCACTTAGGGATGCGGCCAGGGGACGGAAAGTGCCCAGGCTCTTGCCGGGCACTGTCCCTGGCACGGAGAGACTGTCCCGACTGCGGCTGGGGGAAGGGAGGAAGGTGCCACGTCTGAACCCTCGAGTGAGCTCTGCAAACATTTCCTGCCCGGCCCAGCCCTGCCTGCCCGGTGAGGGAGCAGGCTGGGGGGTGGGGGTACGGTACCTTGGAGACCCAGAGATCCAGCTAGGGAAAGGCAGTGAAAGGGGACACAGAGCAGTGACTCAACACAGCGCGGCACCTGGGGGCAGCCCCGCACCCCATCTGCCTCCCACGGGCCCCAGGGCATCGGCCCGGGCGCCCAGCAGCAACGGGCAGGAGACTGGGGAGGGCTCCATGGGCAGGGCCAGAGCTCGGGGCAGGGGAAGCAGCCAGGTTATTCCCAGCCTGGGCACGTGGCTGCACCCCCTCCCCCATGGCGCTGTGCTACCCCCCCAGGGACTCAGCCCGCCGGGGGCACAGGGGACCAGGAAGGCGGCAGCAGCCTGACACCCTCTCCGCCATGACGGGGAGATACACCCCCCCCCTAGCGCAGGGATGCGGGGGGACGGGGCGCCAAGGCACCACGGAAGGGGGAGCTGGAGAGACATCGAGAATGGATGGAGACGGGCACAAGTTGGGGGGGGCAAAGGAGGGGGCTAGGCAGGGCCAGATGGGGTGTGGGTGAGGGAGAGGCCTAGGTGGGGACTGACAGGGATGGGGGTCAAGGCAGAGCTGGGGGAGGGGGGGGGAAAGGCACGGCCAAAGCCCACATTCGCACTCCCCGCTCTGGGAGCTGGGCATGCACTCCCCAGGATCCGTCCCCGTGCACCCCAGTGCCAGCCGGCCCAGACAGCCCCCCTGCCTCCCCACCACTGGGGAGGGGCCACTCATAGGGGAGCATTGCCTGATCTCCCCCCGCGGGGTGCCCCCTCTGGGAGCAGCTCCTCCAACCCGGAGCAGGGGAGGCGGGAGGAGCAGACTCAGCGCCCGGTGCCCAATGCACGACAGGTGGTGATGAGTCTGGCGTTCTCAGCCCAGGCGCTGTGGTGATGGTCGCTCTAAGGCCCCAGGGTGGGGGGTGCCCCACAGGAGGTGGCTGCAGATGGCACTAGCTGGGGTCAGACCCAGCCAGGGGCTGGTGGGGTCCCACTGTTGGGGGGGTGGCATGGACGGGGGGGCGTCAGCCCAAACTGGACAGCAGGGGAGGGAGGCTCCAGGCTCAGGATGGGCATGGAGGTTCGTGAGCAGTGCACAACACACATGGATCAGAAAATAAAAACAGACGATGCCAATGGGGGGTGGGGTCCTGTGACCTCCCTCCAGCCCCCCAATGGGCCCGCCCAGTGCCAGGCAGCAGCATAGTGTACCCCCAGGGCGGGGGGCATGTCCCCAGCCCACTCGGTGCCCCCTGGCACCTGCTCACAGCAAGTGCCCCCCACCCCAACCAGTTCCGGCTGAGCCCTCCCCACCCCTCCACGCTGGCTTCGTTCCAGCCCCCCACTCCTGTTGCAGCTGCCCCCCACCCTAGGCGCTCGGCCCCCACCTACCTGTTTGTGAACCTTTGTAAGCTGCTCCAGGTTGTTCTCAAGAAAGGAAATCTTCTGCTTCTGAGAATGGGCCCCCCCACTGTCCTCGGGTTCCATCTCTGCGCTCTGGGGGGCACAGGGATGGGGGTGAAGCATGGACACATGGTGAAGCTGGCGGGGGGGAGCTTTATCGGGGGGCAGGCTGGCACCAGCTCAGCGGGGCACAGGGCTGGGGAAGCCCAGGAAGGTTGGGGCAGGGCTGTAGTGTGGATGGGGGTCCTTGGGGGACAGAGGCAGGGCAGGACTGGGGCCGGGGGGCTGGCACCGGCTCAGGGTGCAGGCCCAGGGGCACGGGGCCGGGGTCAGGGCTCAGCCAGGCTGGACTCCACTCACTTTCTTGACTCGAGTCGTGACGTCTTGAACAAAAAGCTTGCGCAGGTTGTGGAGGGTCTGGAGTTCCCGGGCCTGGGGCAGAGACAGACAGACAGAGTGGAGGTCAGGACAGGTTCCCCCCACCCCGCCCCCACCCCCCACTCCGGGGGGCTCCCCCATACTTACGACAGTCTCTTCCAGCCCCTTGAGATCCTGCTTCGACTGCTCGTGGCGCTCGTACAGAAATCTGGGGGGGGACAGAGGAGATGGGGGTCAGGCCCCACATTCCCCCCTGGGGGGGAGGGGCGACCCCAGGGGTTGGAGCCGGTCCTGGGACTGGGGGGGCTGAATTGGCTGCACGTGGGCTGGAATCTCAGCCCTGGTCGGGGGGGGGGGGTCTCAGCTCCGGGACTGGGGGGCAGGGGAGGGGCTCACGTCAGCTCCTGCAGTTTGATGGTTTTCTCCTGCTCCTCGTTCTTGAGTTTCTCGTAGTCGGCCCGGAGCTGCTCCAGCTCCAGCTGCAGCTTCTGGTTCAGGCTGCGGCGAGACAGAGACAGACGCAGTCAGTGCCGGGGGCCCCAGGGCACCAGCCGGCCCCCCTTGGTCCCGAGCCCCGGCCCTGTCCGGGTGTCTGGAGCCCGGGGGAGTCACTCACTCCTTCAGCTCGTCGATGACCTTCTGCTTCTCGTTGATCTCGTCCCGCAGCCGGGCCAGCTGCTTGTGGTGGGCTTCCCGGTGCCCCTCCAGCTGCAGCTCCAGGGCCCTCTGCACCACAAGGGCCACGGTTAGAGACGGACCCAGCCAGGGGCCCCACGTGCCCCCAACCCACCCCCGGGGGCCCCAGACCAACCCACCGGGCTCCCCAGCCTGCTCCAGCGGCCCCAGACCAACCCACCGGGCTCCCCACATCCCCCTCCGCCAGGCCCCCCACCCTGCCCTTGGGGCCCCATATCCCCCGCGCCGGGCCCCCCATCCCCACCCTGCCGAACAGGCCCTAGATTTCCCCCCACTGGGCTCCCCATTCCCCCCTCATCCTGGGGCCCCAGATTCCTCACCCCCCCCCCGATATTCCGCTCCTCTGGTGAGTGGGGAACAGGCGGGAGGAAGAGAGCCCCTTCCCCGGCACAGAGCCCCCTGCCATCCCCCCAGCAGAGGGCCCAGAGCCACCCCTCCTCTCCCCCCAGAGCTCCGGCTCTGCCCACCCCCACACACCTTGACCTCGTCGGCATCCTGGATCGGGTCCTGCTCCTGGTCCTTCCGGGACGCCTCGTGCACGGTCTCTGCAGGGCCAGGAGCAGAGGGTTAGGGGGACCCCAGCCCCCTGCCCCACAGCCCCCTGCCCAGCAGGGGCAGGCCCCCCACATGCACCTTGGGCCTGCAGCTTGGCCAGCTCCTCGCTCAGCGTGTCGTACGACTCCTCCAGGTGCCGCTTCTTCAGCTCGACGCTGTGCATGTACTCGCTCAGGGACCGGATCTTGGCCTCGTGCTGTGGGGGGAACACGGGGGGGGGGGGGTTATGGGCAGCCCCACGGCCCCATCACGCCCGCCCTCAGCCCCATCTCCATCCCCATCCCATCTAGCCCCAACCCCACATCCGCCCATGGCCCCATCCCCATCCCACCC